TGGTTCAGGACCGCTCGGCGAGCTCTGAGGGTGTGATTCCAACTAAGTCGTGCCGACTTGAAGTTGAATACGGAATTTGATGCCACGGTCACCGCTTCTTTAAAGAAAACGAATGCACACGGAAGACTTCTGTTCTGGCCTCGCCAGTTCCCTCTATTAAAGCGGTCACTGTGATCTGCTTGGGGAGAGGATCTGCTGCCTTCCCGGCGATGAGTGCTTTTAACTCTTAGACAAAATCCACAAACACTTCTTGCCCTGTTCGGCAGCAAGGAAACCAGTACGCCAAATTACGCGGCAAGAACACTCGCAGAAGTTGACGCTTCTGCTCCTTTCAGGAGTAGGAACGCTACTTCAACCGAAGCACAGCACGTCAGTGCCCTTTCTCGTTCTTGGTCCCCGAGCTTGGAGATAGCTAGCGCCACACGCATTTGCTCATTTTGGAGCATGGCTGGTGTCATAGCTATCTCGACCTCTCTAATTCAGAGCTGGCGATTCTGCGCATCCTTAACCCTCACCATAATCGGCCTGTGTAAAGGAATCATTCGTCGTCAACGATGGTGTCCTAGAATCTGTCGACGCTGACAGCTTTTTCTGTAAGCTCTTTAACAGAGCATTTTGATACCTTGAAAACACCTCAAGGCGCGCTTATGGCCTCAGGCCCTTGCACAGCGAGGTGCTTCACGCCCTCAGGGTCCAGCAGGAAAATCAGCTTATTAGGCCGTTCTGCATGCTCCGGAGCAAATAGGATCATCCTTCCATCCTCACTGAGGATCAGCCGTAAAACGTCAGGCGTGGATTGACTGCGAGGCTACCAATTGCAGTGCGGCTGCCGTATCTCGTTGCTTATATGAAGCTAAGCTAAGGCCACCTACCTAACTTTCTTTCTAAGAACTGGTACTAGTGTAGCGGATCGCAACCCGCTACTTCTAAGTAGTCAGAAACTTAACCAAGGCAAACGAACACTACTGCTCAAAAGCGAGACTGTACTTAATGTTTTAGTTGCGGCAGAGCTGCCAATATCTAAAACCTTAAGGTTTCCTAGTAATTGTAGTGATACATTATTAATAAAGCAATGCCTAAATAATATAGTAATATGCATCACTACTGGCAATCCTGCCACGTGGTGGCTGTTTGTTACGGTGTAGCCTCACCACTGTGTGATTACATCTACCTGTGTAATACACACCTATGAATGGTTGCACTATTTTGTGCTACCCGCCCATCCAGTTATAGCGTCACTAAACGACGTCGCTGGTATTTGACATATCTCTTGCGGCATAATTTGCCCTCCCAGTGCATTTCGCTCGAAGTACTTAGTCCAGAGAGAGAGCTATCACTATCTCCCAAACAATTGACGATACATCAGTCAGATTACGAGCGCAAAATGTGTAAACAGCCAAATTATTTTGTAGCATATTGTTGCTAGGATCGACGTTTGCGCTGGATTGGTGGATTCGTTCAGCTGATAATACGCCTGTAGAGCTGCGCTCGCTGTTTGCCGCTATCATGCATGTAATCGGCACCGGTGGGACGATTTTCTCCCTTTTACTAAACTCGCATTGTGTTTTTAACGAAATACAGCATCTTAGCTTCACACCGTTTCGCTGGTAAGTGACATCGACAGGTGACGTAAATTTGCACACAGAAGGCCCAGTACATATCATCACGCATTTACCTACCCGAGAATAGCACGCGTGGTGAGATGAATGTCACCATGATGAGATGTCTCTTCAACGAAAGATGAAAATGATATACACGATTATATGGATATACCTATCCCGCTCCTTGCTCTATTGAAAGTGAGAGTGTTCTCAATGTCGAACTCATCCATAGCGGATTATGGGTTCAGTTATCCTCCAGATACCAACTGTACCATTTAGTGACTTCGTTATCGCCATGCAAGTCTAAGCACGCATCACTTTAAAAAAAATGATCGTTTTCAATGTGAAGTTTTACCGAAGATAGTGAGGGATACTTTTGACTTCTTGGAACGCTTATGTCACTCCATTCGTGAGTGCGTAATCGTCAATGGAGCTTCACTGCTCCGCACGTTGGGTCCGGCTCACGGAATTGCTGACTCAGCAGCCCGGTCACATCGTGAATAAAATGAGTCATCCTTATCAGCTTCAGCGCGTGGCCATTGCCATTTGCAACTTCAGCCGCTTCTCACCTCTACCGGCTCTAACATAAGAAACTGTGACACCAGTTCATTCCACTTTCTACCAGTCTTGACACAAAAGACTCAACCTGTAGCTGTTCTTTACCGACCAGTCCAAGATACATTTTGGTGGCCTAGATATACAGTCGGCGAGAAAGTTACGATTCAGTTTCACTCTATATCTACATGCAACATGTCACGTCTTAGAAGCTCCTATACATCACCATTTTCTTACGCTATTTTCTTCTTGTATTGTTAAAATTTCATATTCAACTTTCTTCACCTAAACATATTTAACTTCGAATAACATATCTGTTGTTTGAGACCCATACTTAAAACGTTGCTCACCGCCGCCGGTCTCCTTCTGCTAGCCGGGTACGATCTTAATTTTTTGCAGACGGATCGAATGCTCCGCTCCGCTCATCTATGTAAAAAGAAAAAATGGTGCTTATATGTCGTACTCCCTCTGATGAATCACCTGCAAGTCACTAGAAATTTCTTGACGATTAAAATTCCTCTCTCTTCCCTTAGCATAGCTAAGGTCCATTGCTTTTCACGTTCCTATAATAGGGACACCTCTGGTTATTTCGGCAATCAACGCCACTCTATGCAATCATAAAGCTATTTTTATGACTTAACTTAGGCTAAAAACCCTCATGTACCCCGTACCTAATTATTACAGGGTCATATCGTCTTTAATATCCTGATTCATTGGTATTATATAACATTACTAGCGATAGAAAAGCCCACAGTGTATTTATACAGTTGTACAATACACTGTGATTAATTACACAGAAATGTAAGGTTTACTACAACTAGCGACCCCGTAAAGCTTCGATTCTGCCAGACACTAATTGCAATGACACTTTGATTTCGTTTACTTCTGCTTGATGCAGTGCACAGCCTTGATAAAAGCCGAATGAGAGTAAAGTGCAACCCAGAGTGATCTATCCAGACCCAAAAGGGTCTGAAATGTGACCCCAATCCAGGCGTTGATAATTTTAATCGAATACCTGAAATGTCTTACATCCAACCGCTGTTGATTTTAATCAAAAGCTAAAATGTCTTTCATCCAACCGCACTCTACGTACAATTGTACTGATATGTATCGCCTCCGCGCGCAAAGAATCTCAGCCTCCGCATTTCATATGGCCCTCGCGGCACGCAAGCTTTGCTTCGCATTAAATACTTCTCCAAACAAGATAAAGTGTACGCAAAGGTTTCGGTAATAATTACATCAGTACGAGTACTCTCCAAGAAAATGGCAGCCGTAACTGTTTTTATATGAAGGTATACTGCCATCCCGGCTGTCATAGCTCTCATCTCCCAGACCTAGTCCATGATTTTTTGTCTTCATTGACGAGATAGATTTTTTTCGATCGCACACAATACACGTGATGAGGCGATGCAAACACACTCTTATCATGTCGAAATCTTCTTGAAACCACACGTAAATTCTCACACGCAGCCTCCCGGCCTGGTCACTGCCAGCCTTAGGCACTGGTGCTCTGTCAAGAATATTGTCAAACACATGTCCACTTAGACCTCATTTTTATAAATATAAATATTCGAGATAGGCACTCAGCATAAGCGGCCTCAGTTTAGGAGTCGGCGGTGCCCCTACAAATGTTTGGATGAGGCATTACTGGAGGTGTCTTACTAGCAAGTCTCTAGCTAGTGGATGTCACCGGATCAAGCAATCACCACTTCAGGTCATTTACAAGGCAAATTGTGCTCTCCATTCTGGACTAACTAAGGACATGAGCTTCAGATATATAGCTTGCTGTCCCGAGGACAGATAGATGCTCGTGTTTCATCTTCAGACGAGATGCAGTCTCATTAAGACTCGGCCTTCAAATTGACTTCGAGCTCTACCAAGTGCAACGAGGTTGCTAGGCACCTCACACATCGGAATCTTTGACTCTATAAGCCAGCGCTAACGATGCACAGAGGATGGATGCGCTTGCTCTACTCAGAAGCGGAACCAAGAGCCGTTCTTAGTGTTGCTCCAATATTTCCAAGAGTGACATATATTCAAAGTATAAAAGCCTACTCGACAGATCTATCTACGATATTAGTATACGCGTCCCACCAATCTCTCTTTTGTGGACTCGCATCACCCTTATTCATAGCAACACTAGTAGTACTACCTCAAAATAATACTTGACGTTGTTACTCTTGAGCTTCCGACGGACCAAATAACAAAACTGAAATATGTTCGTACGTCATAGTACCGTTACAGGTGAGCTTTTGTTCCGTCCTCACAAATGATGCAGTCTTGGAAACTCAGTCGTCTAAAATTTACTGAAAACAAGTGGTACCTAGAGCAATGTGATAACTGTAGCACGCAGCACAAAAAAAGCGTTTGATTTGTAGGACCAACATTAAATAAAGCATAGAGAATGGATTTAAAGACCGTCCTTAGGACGCGAAACCCGAATCCTCGAGATTACTCAGCACTTGTAGCTGCACAATTCAATAAATCAAAATGCAACTTGCTTAAAGAAATGACTGATATATGCTTTATATCGTATTTATGTTCTCTGCTCAATACATTCCGTTTGATATTATACCTAGTTCTCAACGCTATACTTACAAACAGTACATAACCCGTTCCAGCACCCTGTCGTATACCGGCATATGGAACATTCGGCTTTTCTATCACAGTGCGAGAAAGATACGCAGCCCAAGCAAGAAAAGCTGCAGTCGTTTACGAAACGAGTAGAACTTAGCTTGTAGCATGCAGGCAGACAAAATTAGACTTTAATAAGAGGATACTTTTTAGATCTTTTTGTGAGTACATCTTCTTAAGTAGGAAACTAAAACCATTTCTCGAAGATGATGCACACGCAACCTAGCATGAACATAAACAATTTTCGCTTCAACATCACCTTCTACACACCGCTTATTGGTCAGCTCAAGCATGACGCGCTTCATCTTCATTTTGTCCGGTGCGTGAGAGTGCGTCACGAGGGAAATAGCCAATCTCACATTCCCGGCTGGGACGCGTCCATCATCCTCATGCTTCCAAGCGGACTGCTGACAATTTCATTTCATTAAAGTAAAGATGTTTCAGAAGGATGAAGATAAATCAACATTGGCGTTCATCTTGAACCCGTCATCGCTGCCATCAGCCGAAGTACTACACTCACCAGTGCATGGCAGCAGCGTCTCGTTGTTACCAACCATATCACCAATCAACAAGTCAGATTTAAACGACTCGATAAGCACCGAGCACGATTCCGTTTTGAGCAGAAGCGACTATAGCCTGGACAAGCGTATGGAAATGTACGCACAAAAGTCATCCATCTGTACCCAGAATGAATGTACGCGCACTGCGGTCTCACGTGGATGTTGCGTACGCCACGGTGGCGGCTCGCGCTGTACATACCCAAACTGTATACATGGTGCGCGGCTATACAACCGTTGTTTCCATCACGGTGGTTGCAAACTCTGTAAGATCACTGGCTGCACTAGTAAAGCTAAGCGCTTCGGCTACTGCTGGTCGCACGGCGGTGGCCGCATTTGCGATGAGCCGAATTGCTTTAAGGTGGCAGCACCAGGTGGCTTATGTTGGGCTCATGGCGGTGGCAACAGATGCACGGTAGACGGCTGCAACCGCCGCTCGTACCAAAAGCTCAATTACCTGTGCAAACACCATCACAAACCAGGAGACGGCTTGATTATAAAGTAATGGGCTCATCAGAGTAAAGATAACCTGAAAAACACAACTACTATTTAACTTAAACGTATGGGAGTTCTACAGTATTGAAGTTATCCCTGACACGCGCACTTTCCACTCTGCATATCAGTCCTCTCACGATCCAAGTTTTATCGATACTAAATTCAAAGTCTCTGAGCGTAGGCTCTGTGATTAAGCAGATGGAGCGAAGAATCGAAAAAAAAGTGTGACTCCAGCTCGCGCTATTTTTCTCCTAGTGCCTTCATTGCCAGTGCTTCCGATTGCTGCTTTTATGCCAACGCTTCCGCGTTATCGTAAGCAATAGCGTTGTGGGCCATATCGACGTTTCATTTATTTTTGTGTGTATTCGTGATGTAGGAACATGTCTACCTGATATTGGCGCACTATCTCTGGAGTTCTGGGTCACCGCTAACTTTGATAGTATACCCGCAAACCGACGTAATAGAGAAAGATCTGATTAGTAAAATTCCTCGTTCTATTGTGCACAATGCGATTCACACTTGATACGAGAAGTGTTTTCCTATCAATTTGAAAGAAACTACTCTTGTAGAGGCATCACCACGGAGCTCATTCTTTGGAGCCTTTTTAATGCTTTACAGGATTCACGGTTCACGAAAGAGCTTGATCGGCGCAATACACAGATGTGTACTGACATATAGAATCGCTCGTTCAGATTGTCTATATATCCGCCTGCTAAGTTAGATTCTCAATTAAAATTGAGCATTGATCCTTATTTCTGCACCGCTTGTCGCACGCTATGCAAGATCTCTGCTTGGATAACCCCTTTGGCATTAAACCACTCTTGTAGTCCCTAATATCACGCAGAATAGAAGTTAGCTGTGCTTTGTGACTGGTCATAAATAGGCAAGCTTACCCAAACAGACAGTTGGCCTTGTGCTTGGAGAACAGTAGACACTGAACTCTCAATTAGCTATCGTTCATTTATAGTACTCCTCTTATGAAGCATTAGTCTTGCTGCACATGTTCAGGAAGCAGGCTTCGAAGCAGATGGAATTATATTTATACGAATTGCGAACGTGGTTTACTCTGTCCAAGCATTCGTTTCGCATTAATCGATTTAAACGCTAAAATTTGCATTACTGTAAGTCTTGTTCGAAAGGAGGAGCGGATGCCGTAACAAATAGTGGAGAAGGAACTCAGTGTTCTAACAATTATGTGATATATGAATAGTACAAGACAAATAGTTGAAAAATCAGACGCGAAGGAGTCGCATTATGGACGTTAAGCATCAGCCGAATGACCTCGACTTTGACGCATTTCGTTTCTATCTACTCTTTCAGGCACGTCATTCTTATCACTGACGATTTTCGATACCGTTTTTAATCGGTGCGGGAACTTTTTCCATGTACATTTCGCGTTAAAATATCCTTGAGCTCCTACTCTTGATCATGTGTTCAGTGCCATCGATTCGACGATATTAGTAACCCCATGTGGCAATTTCGCACACACTTTATCATGAAGAGTTGCCAGGCATTTTTCACTAGTCACCGCTAATTGATAAGACCAACGTCCATATCCATTATTGCAATCTTGAGTTCAGATTTCCGCATGACATGTATTGTGCTGATCAAGTGAAAAATCTATTATTTAATCCTAACCCAAAAGCAGTTTCGAATACGAGTCCATGAACTCTCGTTTAAATAGGCTCCTGGCCGACCATAGTGTGACTAGTTCGCATCTGATTTGCAAACAGTTCGCACGGGTTCGTATTGTTCCATTCATATCAATGCTTCAATACTTGTAGCCTTTTCCACTTCCACTTCCAAAGTTACATACTTTAAGACTACAATATCTATATCCTATATACTACTTAACATGAATCAATCCGTATAAGAGCAACAGACGCACCCTAGACCGACTTCAAGACAGCAATGGTGTATATCGTATATAGTACACGGTCCATGTACGTCATTACCAAAGGTTAATTCGAAATGTGTGTTCCTGAACTATCTATGGTTCAGCCTCAAGTTGTACGACTGACGCAACTGTCGACCATGAGAAGACTGCAGAATGAAAGTGTACCGCGACTATATCTAGTACATGTCCCACTGTCTCTCCTCTATAGCGTTACGACGAAGATATAAGCAAAATTTGCTTGCAGAGAATTTTTAAATTTAGCAAACTCAGTCCAAATTTTATGATTACACGTCGAATACGTCTACGCCAGATTTTTTCAACAATGAAACAAACAAGCACACTACACCCTGTAAGAAAGCGTACGTGAACAGGATTATCAGCGGCGGCTATAGTGTCCATATCATTGTTGTCGTAGAGTTCGTCAACTTATTAAGCTAAAGAGTTTAAAGTTGAGGCAGGTTGTGTACAGCGCGTCCATTACAAGCCATTGCCGCATATCAGTCGGGCACTCTATACCCAGCAGACGCTACAGACAACAAAAACGAAGCAGTAGTAGCAGCGTGAGCTACGGGCGCATCTCGTTCTTAAAACTACTGTAAACATGTAGAATAGTAGCTGTAGACACATCGCCTGGGTCCGTGCGATAAATTTTGACCAACCGCATAGCTTTGGAGCTTAGCGCACAGAAACGCTGCATCTGATGCAACGAGTAGATGAAGCTCTTCCATCAACTTACACTTCTCACGTTGTTACTGAGTAAGCTCTAGCCAGTTTTCGACTTGCTTCAGGATGCCGAAACCTTACTTTTATAGTGTGCCCGAGCACATTTCTTTATCAAAGGCCCAGCATCGGAAATTCACTGAGCTGGCCGACGCCATAGTAGCTGAAACGTTACAGACAAACGAATTGTTTGTTGCAGACGATCGACAGCTACCAAATGATCAGTGGAAACACGTCAAGTCTAAAGAAAAGATGCACGTGTATCGATCACGACATGCTTCTAAGGCAATGAGACCACGGGGACCGTCTCAAGACGAGAAGCAGCCAAGTCGACCTCGTTTTCTCTCACTCTCAGCTGTCGAACTCCATGAACGAGAGACTACGGGTCGGCCGTATGGCTACAATGACGAGACATATATGTCACTCAAGGAAAAAATAAGCACCAACACACATAGTTCGTCAAGTGATGGGGAGTCGTTTTCTTTAGAGGATGATTGTGTCTTAGCGAAGATAAAACCGTCGCATATCCCACTCGTGGTAGCTACTGGAGCTATTGACGGTACCATTGAGAATGTTGCTTTTGGCATGTTCTCGAATACAAAAAACTCTTGGATTATTTGCAATTCGTACGTCCATAACGACGTATTTGACGATCGAAAAGTGCTGGCGACGTTACAGTTGCCTTCTGTAGAAGATCCTTTTCGATCAGTGACTATCAAGTGGGCAACTGGTTCCTTTGGTGCCTTTACAACACGACGAGATTTTCTTTACCTTGAGTCGATGGGTATGGCCTTCGATTCAGACGGCGAAGAAATCTTTTACAACCTAATACACTCTATTGAACTGGACGACTTGTGTCCTCCGACCGAGCATTGCAATATCATTCGAGCCCAAATTTCGACCTGTTATATTGCCCGACAGCTTAATGACCATAGTGTCGATATGTTTTGCCGCGGTTTTGTTGATCCTCGAGGTGATATGGTGGAGAGCTATGGCATTCTTATGCTGGCACACACAGTGTCTGTTTGTTCGGGTTATGTGGAGTGTTCAAATCTTAAAAAATTGGATTGGCTCATGCGTCAAAGCAATCTGATCAGTCCCATTACAGGAACAGAGTGTGGTGTTTGCCACAAACCCCACAAGAAGCGCTCTCTTCTTCATTCGCCAACAGGGTGCACCATATGTCGGCGCTTGACATGTAGCAAGTGCAGTGTGCAAAAGAAACTCACAGTTGACGTTACTGATGGGATCGTGCAGAAAGGTTTTACTTTTTGCTTGTCGTGTGTCATGGTAGCAAAAAAATTGTCGGCATGGGAAGTTGCTGCGGCAGCAGTGCGAAGCAAAGAATCTGTAAGCTGAATCTATTTCCGCCTGATGTCCTACAAGTTACGGACATATTTGTAATACTAGAAGTCGTGCTTGAATGTCATTAACATTAAGAAGTTCTAATGTGAGCAGTTAATAGTAAAAGAGTTGTACTGGGTTTAGATGGAGTTGGTATTTCCTCTATTTGTTACAGTCGTAGGAAATGAATGCTACATCGATCAAGACAGTCAAAGTTTTACAACTTATATGATGTGACATCGATCTGAGCATTTTCGATAACAATGCATAAGATATCATGATCAATGGGCCGTAACAATTCAACAAAAATTCTTCCTCTTCAAGATTTACGCGCAGCTATCAAATAGATGAACCACCGGTGGTAATTTATTACAAGTAGCTACCCCTGTCACTGACTGTACCCTGCGAATAATAGTACAATTGTATCAAGCATCGCAGATCCGTCGAGTGTGGACAAAGACACACAAAATCGTTGCTGCTACATTTGATCTTGTGCTCGAAGTAAAATTGGCAGGCGATGAATCTGAATGCGCTGATGGCAAATCAGCTAGTTGACAGCAAAGTAAAAGTGGCAATTTACACCGACCGATACGACTTTGTTTCAATATCAAGAAGTCTACGATTAAAAGAATAAATTGCTACACAGACTTAACGCATTTCACCGCCTTCGTGCCTCATCGTCACAGCGTAGGCTCTTCAATTACATGAATAGGTGTTTGGATTGTTGACTCATCGCTATGAAACGGGCAAAATGACGAACGATGATCTGATTGTGAGGACGCAGGCGGAGTTGCGCCAACTTGTTCTATTGTTCGGAAAGCCTCCTATCCGCACGGTTATGCTGACCCTTGTCCGTGGAGAGAGATGCGCAAGGAATTGACAATAGCATGAGCAAGGATAAGACACTTGAATGGTTGTACCACA